AGGACCCCCAGTGCTGCAAGGCGGAGGTGCCAGTCACTCAGCCCCTGCGCTGCCTGTGGATATTAAACACGTAGTACTTTAGTAGGTTAATACCTGGTCACTAGATTGGCTTGTAGTTTAGAAAAGACAGTTGGAACCTCCTGAGGACAGACATAAGGCACTTACCCAGGTTGCTCTGATGTTAAAAGGTGCATGCTCGAGGACGTGTGTGACTACCTTGTGTTTTCACAGAGCTGGCGTAAGCATGCAGCTAGTGAAGTCTGAATGTGCCGTGTATGCTCTGCCTACTACCAGTGAGTGCTTGAGTAAAGACGGCATTGGTCAAGCTGCAGTCACCAGACGGAAATCTTTGACGTGACCGTGTCCCTTCACTAAAGCCAGACTTGTAAAAGAAGAGCGTTCACCTTTCCTGCACCATCTAATACTACTTTGCCCAAGTTCTCTAGGAAACCAACATTTTCAGCAGTTCGTCTCCTGGGAACCAGTTTATCAATTCCTTCCCTTGTGTTAGAATAGAATACAAGGCTTTCTGTGCCTCTGGTGAGAGGAGGGGGTGGGGAGGGGTAAGCGGATCCAGGAGTATAGCTCTGTGTAGGATCCAGCAGCCACCTGGACCTAGAAGTGTTAAAGGGTCTCTCTGGTGAAAAACTAAAAATACATCTGTATTGAATTGCCATAAGTTCTCTCTCCTAATAACCAGATCCATCTAGAGACGTTTGTAAACTATTAACCCCTTCATGACCGGCGACTGGCATGAGGTCTGTTTAAACAGACTCCTGCAGCTGGCTTTACAGTAGAACCGATTCTGGCGGCTCAGCTGTCGCCAGATTGCTTCTACGGGCCCCCCTATGTGATGGCAATTCAATTAATGTATTAAATGTAAAAATAATTGTACAAAATTAATTTTAAAGTGTATGAAAACGACGATCTCGCTACAGCTGTTGGGTATGACCGTGCACGCCAGAGTGACCGACAATAATTCTAGGGCCAGTATTTTTGGGTATCTCTAAACTAATGACCTGTGGGGGCTTTTAAAGCGTAATTTGACATTTTGGGGTACTGAATTCTGTCGCTATATCAGACGCACACAATTTTTTAACCTGGGCATTTTGGGTATCTATTTACACGTAACCATCTTTTACATTTTATTTTTTTTTAAAAAGGGTGTTTTGGGGCATTTTTCACTAAATATTGGAGTTTGATAAGGTTTGCACTAATACCGTGCAACATAAATAGTTGCAACTGCCACAATTTTATTCTATAGGGTCTTGGCTTTCAGAAAATATGTTTGGGGGGTTTTTCAGGCCTAAAATGTGGAATCTAACATGGGTGCAAAGAATGAAAAAAAGGCCCGTCATGAAGGGGTTAAATATGCCCACCAGACGTACTTCCTCAATGCACTGACACAATTCAACATCGGAACAATGTAACATTATCATTGGTTGCTGGAAGCAATGCATGATGGGATCTGTAATCTTGGGAAATGGCATCACATGCAGCAGTGAAAAGAGATGCAAAGCATGCTGGGAATCCAGGAGGGTGTTGGAAGTGATAGGCAGACAGAAGGTGGCGCTCACTACATAAAAGGGATTTTTTTTTTCTTGAATGCATTATCAGACTCCTCCAGTATGTATTCCTATTACAGTGCTGATGTTCTAACAGGAGAGGATATGATGGGGACGTTACAAATCCTTTAGATTTGGGGTAACTTATTCAAGTGTTTACAACAAAATACATTCTGGCATTTTGCTTTCATATTAAAAACAACTTTACTTCTGCTTATACACTTGTTCAACGTCCCAATGGCTCTTTGGTCCCACATGCAGTAATGCCTCTAAACCTCTTGGTGCTGAAATGCAGACGTGTGATTGGGGATGTGATCTAGAACTGCATAGAACTACACACAATACGTGAACTTGCCTGGGCAGTCTCAGTAAGAATTCAGATGCCTTAAGTGGAGGGAAGTTGTTTTCAGCCGCATGGCCTGCACCTTCCCAAAGGCACTCGTCTGCAGCATCTTAACGTCATATTTCTAATGTTACAGTAGTAAGCTCTAATGTATTAGTGGGGCGGGCCTTAAAGGGGTGTATTCATAAATAATTTGCAGACCACTTTGTTCTGCAAAACTGCATTTACATTCATTCAGTGCTAATGGAGGCAAAAGACATGTTATTACAGTTCACCTGGAAAGAAAATAGCAATATCTGTGAAATACTACATTACGGCCACTAGATGGAGCTGAGGTGCAATACATACTACTTTCCTGTGCTCCATCTAGTGGTCATAATGAGGTATTTCCCTGATATTTTCTTTCCAGGTTAAATGTAATAACGTTTGTTTTTGCTTCCATTTGCACAGAAAGAATGTACATGCAGCTTCACAGGAAGAATAGTTGTGATTTTTTTTTTTTTACAATTACACCCCATCGTGACAGCTGCCAATATCCGTACCAGTGCCTCCAACTGATACGTAAATTGGCAGGCAAAGTCCAGCTTTTAGAGAGAAATAATAAATGCACACTTCATAAAAGAATTTTGCATTGCAGACAAAGCATGGAACTACAAAAGGTGGCGATTTCACAGTGCCATGTGACCATGTTTTATGATCACTCCCCCCGCCCGAGTATAGGTATTACATGACACATGGTCAGAAAGGTAAACTTAGCCTGTAAAATATTTGATTGGTTAAAAAAAAAAATTAAACTCGCAAACCGACAACTGGTTTTAGTGGCATATAAATAATCTCATGATGCAGTTGTAATCAAAATTATTTCAGCCTGTTACAAATCAGGCACCCTAGGGGAAAATGTCATACTGTCTGAGTAAGCTGAAGCTTGAGTCATTGGACCTTCCAACAGGACAATGATCCCTAGCATACCTCAAATTCCACCAAGGCTTGGTTGCAGAAGTAGTCCTGGAAGATTCTCCAGTGGCCATCACAGTCACCTGACTTGAACTCCGGTTGGATTTGAAGAAGGTGGTTGCAGCTTGCAAACCCAAGAACATTAGTGAACTGGAGGCCATTGTTCATCAGGAATGAGCTGAGATTCCAGAAGCTAGTGTCTGGCAATGCATCTCAGTTGCAGCAGGCCGTAACAGCAAGAGGTTGCTCTACAAAGTGCTAAAGATGCTTGCCGTGAAGGGATTGAATCAATCATTTTGAGACTGCAGAAGACATTAAAAAGTTGCATTTTCAGTTGAATTTGGGGAAACCACTTGAAACTAGGAATGCACCGATTCGGATACTAGTGCCGATACCGAGAATTTAGGCGAGTACTCTTATTCACCCAAATGCTCCGATACCAGAACTTCTGGTCAGAGGGAGCTCTCTCTGACTGGCAGTGCTGAGGTAGCATGGAGCCGGCTTCCTTTCCATTCAGGAAGTTGGGAGGTGAGTTATGACCCACCTCCCCGATTGGCTACGAAGCAGGCTTTACTTGTTGCTAGGCAGCCTGGCTTACTAACCAATCAGGAAGCCAGATGGCACCTCATGACTCACCGCCGGCTTCCTGATTGGTAAGCCTCAGGAAGTGAAGCCGGTGTTCTTGTGCTAGAACACCGGCTTCCCAAGCAATCAGGGTGACTGGTCATGATCCACCGGCCAACTTCCCGATAATCGGGGCACGCGGCACCAGTACTTGGTATCAGCGAGTACTGAAAAAGAAATATTGGTACTCGTTACTGAAAAACAGGTATCGGTGCATCCCTACTTGAAACGTGTTGTGTTGACTTATTCCAATTGCTTGTGTTTGATTTGTTCATTGCAAACAGCTGAAAGTCTGTCAATGTTGCCAATAGACCTGATTTGTAATGGCGGATGAATGATATTGCATTACAAGTGTATAAACTTATGGAGAACCCGAAAGAAAACTGCACAAAACCATTTGATGTTATATGTTTTATTAATGGTCATCAGACTTGCCTAATAAAAACATATACAATATAAAAAAATTCTAAATTAAAACTCAGAGGTAAAAGAAAAAAAAAAAAATAAGATCCCCAATTAAACGTGTCCTGCAACTTATAATGCTTAGTGTACTAAACTGGATTCTCTTGGTACATAAAATAGGACATTTGATATATTTATATAAATATGATGTATTGCGGTATTTACAGTTACAAAATTAAGGAAAACTGGGTGCACCGGCTGAGGAAAGCTTTGCTTTCAGTGCGCTGAACCTCTGAAATGGTTGATGTTTCTCCATAGCTGGAGGGAGTCCAGTCCCTCTCTATTAGGTTGTCCAGCTGCTTTTTTTCTTTTGCTGTCCAGTTGCCATGGCAACAACCACTTTTTACAAACAGGACACACACACAGACACACAAAGGTGTGACACTTCCGTGGACTCTGATGACCTTCCATATATGTTACCCATTGTATGCAATAGTAAAAGAAAGCCTTCAGGGGGGTGAAATCTTCTTTAAAAAATAAAAAATCAGGTATTTCAGATTACAGGAGAAGAAGTCACAGAGAAAGAGAAGAGTGCACACAGAGACACTTCAAAAGTCATGTTAATTCTCTCAAAAATGCCAATTCTTGTATTAATCTGAACCAGGCAAGTCATTTGATTTGGAGAGTAGAGTGTAAAACTCCGTCTCCCGTACCCATGGCAGGTGGCCATTTTGTAAAATGAGCATCTGGGCCATTTATCACATCAACGTAGACTGTGAGCAACACTGATTTCACCTGCCCAGATCTCGGTATCTAGTGACAACAGAATGGCCGTTTGGCACACGTACATGCCAATCTTACACGGTTATTGCCTGGTCCATAAACATGACCGTACTTTTCTTGCATCCCGAGGCCTCTATAAAATAGTGATTTTAGTAGCATGTCGACTGGCTTAACTAGATACTTTAGTTTAAAAATATATTTTGATATTCTCTATTTCATGGGCGTTAAGTGCTAACAGTACAAAAATCGCTAGTCCTAATGAAGCTACCCTTGAAGCACGACCCATTTACCAACATTATAGAAGCATAGAACTCGAAGACAACAAAAAACTAGCATTTTAAGATCTGTTCTTTTTTAATTTCGATTTTTTTGGCTTTCGGAACAAGGAAGACGCTCCCATCCTTTGTTTGCTGAAGGGAATATTCCAGAGGGGAGTACGGCTTTCCATCCTCATCAAGCAACTTGTTGAAGACCTCCATATACAAGGTCCCGAGCTGCTTCTTCATAAGACGGAGGCTGTTGTTGTACTCTCCCTTCTCGGCGAGTAGTTTCTCTTTCTCGTTCTTCAGCTTGTCTAGATCCTGCTCCAGGTCCACGATATTCTCCATTTTCCTCTTGCGGCAATTTTGGGCCGCCACCTTATTTTTTCCACGCCTGCGTATATCTCGGATGAGGGCGAGCTGGGCATCGGTAAACTGGTGTTTGGACATCAAAACGTTGAAGTCATCCACAGGAAGGTTAACAATTTTATGAATGGAGAATGGTACATTAAGAGCTTTTGCCCTTTGCTCGTCTCTAGTGAAACGAGCCTCAAGGCGGCTTGCAGTTTTGTCCTTCGTGAATGGGGTATTGCTTTGACCAGGCCTAACGGGCAACTCCATTTCTGGGGAATTGTGAAGTTCTGTTTCAAAGGACGCATCGAGTGGTACGAAAGGCGAGAGTGAAAAAAATGCATCCTCCGTGAAGGACGCTGGGAGCTCTTCAGTGGGATTTTGTAGTACGCTTTCAGATGTGCTTTCCGTGTCCTCCATTTCAGAGTCACTGTATCCAAAAGGAGCGTCTCCATAGACAGAGGAGCCCATAGATTGCTGCCCAGGCGATGTAGCGCAAGGACTTGTGCCAATTGAAATTCCCGAATCGCAATCATTGTATTCTGATGGATTGTTCCCGTTAAATGCTTTGCACTTTGATAGGTCCGTAATATCAACAGATTCATGTAAAAGTTCAGTGAGAGACTGGCCTGAATTGTCTGTTAAAGGCACATTGGTCACTTTGGGGTCAGTAAGGGTAAATATGTCATCACAAAAAGATTCCATGTGAAAGGTTTGGTTTGTGGTTACTGTGGGCACATTGGGTACAAAAGAACCTGCAAAGTCATTCGAGAAAACCGGTACTATGTTTTCCACTGGATTTTCCATCGCTGGTACTGGACTGTGATACATGTAACTGTGCACAGCCTCTGTCACGGGTTCCTGATTCGGATACATACTCAGATTAGCAAAGCCATCAATCTGACTGCCCAGACACTGGATGGAGAGAAGATACAAAGTACATTAAACCTGGAAAATGCAATTCTACTAACTCAACTACTTGTTACATTAAAGAATATAGATTTATCAGAATTGGATGCCAAGAGTCAAAAGATTTCTAGAAAATGTCGGTTGATTGATTACAATGGAAGTTTTTGTGGCTTAGCAAAGTGCTGCTGGATCCGGAGACAGACTGACAGGTACCAGAATTCAGTGTCCATTCGTCCACTCACACTTAATGACTAAGCTCATACTAGTAATTGTGGGCCAGCTTAGAAGTAACACATAGGGCTCTGTAAAAGGACTCTGCCCATCAATATTCCCAGCAAAGTGGTTAGGATAACCAATGTGATCATAGTAGGATTGTATCACTGTGGGTGTGCCGTGCTGATCAATAAACACAATGTATAAAAATGAACAAACAAAACCAAAATATTACATAAACCTACACAGCGATACCCCTGACCAAGTAACGCACGTAGGGCGGAGTTTGTGACACTTAGGTGGGCGGAGTTGGTGGAGAGAGAGATACAGAGGCACTGGCTAAGGTGGGGTTGCACTAACCCGCTACACACTGACTTTATCCTATTATTAGTGTGCACTTTAGTCTGCGCTTTTTTTCATTTCTTGGATCACCAAACGAGGATTGTGACACTGAGGAACGGAGGATTACTATCCAAACCTGCCCGCTGTAAGGCTAGGCTCACACCTAGGCGATTTATTGCTTGGATTTTGCCGCGTGATGTCACATAAAACAGATTTCTATTCAAGGCTATGGAAGCTGTTCACACCTTTGCGATTTGTCGCGTGGTAGAAATCGCCTGTCACGCAAAACAGTGCAGCAGCTTTTTTCGGAAGGTTCTTGCGCAGGTTGTGTCCTATAGACATCTCTATGCATTGGAAAAAAAAAAACGCACGTTTTTCAAAGCAAAATCGCGCAAACAAAAACGCACGACAACCGTGCCAAAATAGCTCCCCTGCTGAATCACCTAGGTGTGAACCTAGCCTAGGAGGGGATTGGCGCGATTAGACCGTGCTAGGTCTAGTCATAAGGTAAGGGACATCCTGGAGAGGGTCTGCACTGGGGGAAGAAATGATTGCGGTGGAGGAAGCGCAGCACAAACTTTCTTCTGGATTTGTTAAAATGTTTTTGCACTTTTAAGAATTCACTTTGGGACATTATATGATATACTGATTATTGTTGTTTTCTACTGCGGATACGTCTTTTATATGCAGTGGAATTTTCACACAGACAATATATTTAGACATGCACACATTTATATGGGCTGGTATTTATTATGCTATATATGCATTATTTTGATTCTCAGCATAGGTTTATATAGGATTTGGTTTAGTTTGTTCATTTCTATATATTAAAATTGTATTTAGCGATTAGTGCGGCACATCTACAGGTAAATGATTTATAATAATCACGCATTATGCTGCTGGGATATATATTGGCACAAGGGGTTTTATGGCTTTATCACTATAGGCCGTCATGATATGGTCTGTTCTGTAGGCAGGTGTATCATCAGGATATGTAAAGCGCTGCGAAAATTGTTGGCGCTATATAAATACCTGAAATAAATAAATTAAAATAAATGTTGGTCACATCAATCATCAGGAATGCGTCATAAGTACACGGGGCGTTAACCTGCAGGATTTGAATGGTGTGAATATACATATAAATGATTTGCATAAAACTGTTTAGCAAACTGCACAAATAATGAGCTACAGGCAGAATGGACAACCGTATAGTCCAGTGACGTATGTGTAGTTATTTTAAATATTTTTTTGCTAAATATTTGTAATACAACATTTCATAAAAAGAAGTGTGTGTGTGATATATATATATATTTATTGTTTATGTCTGTTGTCTTGCTCTAAGGTTTGGACATGAGAGTATGAATGTTGTATGGAGCATATGAGAGCAGATGTGAGCCGTTCTTAAAAGTAGTTTGCAGTGTCAGCGTTGGCTGCTAGCCCAACCCCACACACATTCCTTTTAGTCCATTACTATGTTAGCTAGCTTCACTAGCCAATAGGAATATGCAGGTGGTAGGAAAGGGCGGGCAAGCTTCGGCACTTAACAGGAAGTGTTGATTGTTTGCCTGTTGGAACGCCCCCATGATTTGGAGGTGCACTTCATATCTGCAGCAGTTTGCCATCTTTCCCCTCTTTTAATCTCTTTACTTGTACTGAATGAATCATTTTTTTAGTTCATTCAATTTTATAAAGGCTGCCTTTTAAAAATGTAATTCTGATGATCAGAATTTGTGTGCGATTGACTTCTAGAGGAAACGTCACAGTAGCAAGCCTACCTGTAACTCAGGAATAGACATCAGCTCCTCCCAGGCCTGGTCCATTTCATGCATGCATTCTGCATTAGCGGTTGTGTTCTGCAGAGTTTCAATTGCAGGAAGCGGATCTGTAGTGAGGAAGTTCTGACTGACCTCTATGTGAGGAGTGGGTGAAATTTCTGTTTGGTAGGTCATTGGAGGCGTCTGGAAACCAAAAGAATTTTACGTTTAATATGTCACACGTGTTTGTATAATAAATACAATGCATTTATAAGATTTATCAGCTGAGTTTAATGTCACTTTAGAGGAATGCTGTTTACTTACTCCACCCTGATCTGCCCTGCAGCCCCAGTAATAATCACCATACTTACAGGTATGGGGCACATTGTTGTATCCAGCTTCAGTGCACCGCTTAGTGCCTAAGCATCCAATCGTCATGTCCCAAGTTTGGCACATGGTGGTTGGAATTTTGCTAGCCGGGTGCCCATACCGATCATAAGGTTTGTATAGGATCTTTGCAGGAGCTACAGCAAGGGAGGCAAGTAAAGGCACCGAAGATTCATTTATTTACTTTTTTTCTTTTTAAAGAGGAACTTTACCCATGTCTTCAAAACAACAAGAAAGGCGCCTTTAGAAATGCTTAGTAATGACATCTACAAGTACTCACAGTTAATTGCTGGATTTGAATTCTTTACATACCTTATTTTTCTTTTCCTCCCCAGTCTTCGGACAGTGGCCATGTTAACTAAGGGCAGGTTACTAGATCTTCCTTTACTTCCTGGAACTCTGGCACATGTGACCATGCACCTCATCTCAGTGGAGGAAAATTCCTTTCCCCGAGATCTCATGAGATTTGAGATTTCCCAGCAATGCTCTGCTGGTGTAACCCTCCCAGGATGCAACTGTTAAACATGTTTATTTTACCTACAATTTCTGGTTTTCTACTCCCTGGTTCTCTTTGACAAAAGTGATGTAATCGTTCCCAAGCGTTGCCTCCTGGGAAGGTTATATCAGCAGAACGCTGCTGGGAAAGCTCATCGGTAATCCGTCCGGGAAAGATATTTTCCTTTCCTGAGATGATGAGCATGGTCACATGTGCCAGAGTTCCAGAAGTAAAAGGGAGATAGATTTATCTGCACTTAGTAAAAATGGCCACCGTGAGAAGAATGGGGAGGAAAAGAAAAACAAGGTATGCAAAGAATTTAAAAAACGGGAATGATCTAGAAGTATCTGTTTGTAGATTGTCATTACTAAACATTTCTAAAGGTGTGTTTATTATTATTTTGAAGATATGGGTAACGTTCCTCTTGAAGTACAAAACATTTGTTAGAATTAAATCTGTACTCTTCAAAAGCCCACAACCCCAAAATATTCACCTCAATCTGGAATGTATCGGCTAAGATTTTCAAGCAGTCATCAAAGGACAGTCCTTGGCCCAGATCCGGCTTATTCTACATACAAAAAGAAACAAACATTATCATCTTGTTAATGTGAACAGGCAGTCCATGCCGCATTGCTTCACTAAACACGATGTGGACCAATTACCTGCAAGGAACTTGTGACTACTGCAGCCTCTATTAATGCCGGCTGCTGAATCGGGATGAATTCCCCAGTCTCCTCATCTAGTTGCAGGTTGGCAAAAAAAGCCTTTTCCTGCTCCTTCAGAAGTTGTTCCTGGTGCTCTTTTTCAATCTTCTTCTGTTTTTGCAGCTCACATTCCTTCTGTCTTTGGTGGTAGTCAAAAACTTCTCGACCAACACCGAGGTCAATGTCTTGTTTCCATAGGATGTCGATGAGTTCTGTATCCTAAGAAAGGAAGACAATATTGTGTCAGTAAAAAAAAAGTATAACCCGACAGCCTTCATTACACACTGGGCCCGATGGGTAAAAGTGTCGGAGGGCAATTGTTACCCACAGTAACCAGATTCTATCATCTCCAATACTTCACTGTCAACATGATTCCAACTGGTTGCCAGGGCACTACTTTTGGGCATCATTAAGTGGGCCCACTATGTATTATTCATAGGGATAGGCGTACATGGGCAAACTAAGGCCGTCAGCATAGCTTCAATGAGACTTGGCAGAGGTGAGCCCACTGCATTTATGACAAAGAAGGCAACAAACTGCCATTCTCTGCGACCTCCACTGATATTGAGCACTAAAGTCTGTAAAAATAACCCTAGTAAAGCGACATACACAGGACTTTCCAATATAGTAACCAGCGTTAGAAAGGGAAAAGGGTTTGGGAAAATAGGTGCGTCTTCATAAAAATATACCGGTATTGACATACTGGAAAGCATGCTACTTGTCATATACAAAAACCTAAGTGTTAGAAGCATCAATCTGGTGTGGATTCTCTGCTTGTTAAAAGGTACGAGGAGATGAGGTATATTATCCCTAGCCCGAGGGTGAAACATGGTCTATATGTCTATAAAATGAACACACACATACATGCCGTTATTCTGGTTTGACAACATCTAACCCTCAGGGTCTAGGACAAAGGTTTTTCCACCATCTTTTGCAGTCACACGTCATGTCACATGAGAACCCGTAACAATAGGGAACTAGCAGAGGAACTGCGCTCATTTCATTTCCTGTCAAAATAATATCCTACAACACACAATAGGCTGTGTCTAGCTCACAATGAAAGATACCGATCAGTATATTTCTAGGGTGATGCCTTTTATTAATCTGCTCACATAACAGGCAACACAAGATTCCAGATACAGAACTCCAATGAACCTGCCAGTAAATTATTAGCAAAATCCTAGTTAACCGTTTCATTGGAATCAAAAGGAAATGTGTTTTTACATGGCCCTTGTTATATGTAGAAAAGCACGATACGAGTTTGTGGACAACAGGCTCAATTCACAGAGCTTTAACACAAGGATAAAGATCTTTATTTCAGCCATGTGACCAATTTTGAAATCCCATTGTACGCAGCTAAAAATGGCGGTCATCTTTTTGAGAAGAAGGATCTTTCTCCTGCTGGAGCGTTCACTTTGTTAATTGTTAATAAGGCATGTGGTTTACAATGTGCGTCGGTCAATTTATAGTCCTATACTCCTCCCGAGGGACACCTTTTATGGGTCCAGCATGGCCTGAATAAAAGTAATAAACATGAAGTGCCTTCACTAGGTGGCTGAGACATTTTAAAAAGTTTAATTGTCTACATGTGTCCTGCAAGTGCACCACTTATGCATTAGGATAATGGGGATCTTTATATGGTGGTCTGGGTACCTCATCCAGGTTCCCTAAGGGGGCTCCTACTTGGAGGAAGGCGTATGGAAGTGTATCTCAAGGGTGTACAACTGAACTTAGTAGACATACTGCAACGGACAAGCCCATTGTAAGTGTATAGATGCTCCAAGAACCAATGGCCCAAGCCGCTAGTAGCATTCCGTGTTGTACCCTGCGTTAAACCAGTTGTTTTGGAGAGATCTCCTTTAACAATCTCGATGTCCTTCCAGTTACTTGATTAATGTTTAAGCACGCTGCACTCTGAACTCATTAGGTAAACGCAGAGCATTCAAAGACTGAAATGTATAACTGAACAGTGTTGATTTGCAAATTATGTCAGAAACCTCTTGAGAAGTTTGGTCACTTTATTTTCAAAAGTAATCAAGCAAACTAGTAGCTTAGCCAGACGCCTGCCATCGACTATGGTGAATACCTTTTCTTTCATCATTACCTGTCCGTGGAATATAACTAGCGACGTATCTTTAAATAAAATACTTGTTTGTTTTCATCCCTAATTACATTTCAGTGCTGCTGATCACCTGCACCCACTTCCTGTGTACAGGCATGCCCACAGCAATGGCTGAATGGCACTTCTCGGGGCAGTGGACCATGTATGCATAATGTGTGTTGAAGTAGCCACTTGTAGTTCCCATCACGAGCCAGGATGAGCGAGTGATCACACAGGAGCATAATTGGGGAACAGGGACCAATAGTTGTCACTAGGGATGCACCAATACCGAGTATTTAGTCATTACACGCAGGCCGGCTTCCCGATTGGCATGGTAGCCGGCTCCATGCTCCCTGCGCCTGTTGAGTCTGTTAGTGACCGAACACACGTTGGAGGGCTGGGCTGTAGTCAGTGGAACCAGAAAGTGAGCATTCCATACTGGATTCCAGAACTCCCGATCTCATCACACACAAAACACTGCAAAGATAACGTGCAAAGAGCAGTAACTAGTAGCAACCAGCATTCTTATCTCATAAAGGTATCCACACTTATCACATGACGGTCACCCCGGCCAACAACTCAGGGAACCATTCATCAGATAAAGAAACCGGTTATGATGATTTGCCTTCAGATGTGTGAATTGACGCTAAGGGTTTTCCTACTCTTCTTTGCCATAAATATGTATACCTGGCCATGCATGCATGTTTAGAAGAGATAGTGCCGACATCTAAAATCTCTCCATATCCCATGAGAGCCTTCAGAGCAATCACAGAGGCTTTCCGATTGGCTTCTAGGTTTCTGCACTCTCCAATGGTGATAAATAAGATGTACTAGGGACCATACTTGTTGGTATTAGCTTACAATCTAGAAATCATTTGAGAACTTGGGTCTAATGGAATGATGGTCATGCTACGGGGGGGAGGGTCAGAGGCTGCGGTCATGCTACGGGGGAGAGGGTCAGAGGCTGCAGACATGCTACGGGGGAGAGGGTCAGAGGCTGCGGTCATGCTACGGGGGAGAGGGTCAGAGGCTGCAGACATGCTACGGGGGAGAGGGTCAGAGGCTGCGGTCATGCTACGGGGGAGAGGGTCAGAGGCTGCAGACATGCTACGGGGGAGAGGGTCAGAGGCTGCGGTCATGCTACGGGGGAGAGGGTCAGAGGCTGCAGACATGCTACGGGGGAGAGGGTCAGAGGCTGCGGTCATGCTACGGGGGAGAGGGTCAGAGGCTGCAGACATGCTACGGGGGAGAGGGTCAGAGGCTGCGGTCATGCTACGGGGGAGAGGGTCAGAGGCTGCAGACATGCTACGGGGGAGAGGGTCAGAGGCTGCGGTCATGCTACGGGGGAGAGGGTCAGAGGCTGCAGACATGCTACGGGGGAGAGGGTCAGAGGCTGCGGTCATGCTACGGGGGAGAGGGTCAGAGGCTGCAGACATGCTACGGGGGAGAGGGTCAGAGGCTGCGGTCATGCTACGGGGGAGAGGGTCAGAGGCTGCAGACATGCTACGGGGGAGAGGGTCAGAGGCTGCGGTCATGCTACGGGGGAGAGGGTCAGAGGCTGCAGACATGCTACGGGGGAGAGGGTCAGAGGCTGCGGTCATGCTACGGGGGAGAGGGTCAGAGGCTGCAGACATGCTACGGGGGAGAGGGTCAGAGGCTGCGGTCATGCTACGGGGGAGAGGGTCAGAGGCTGCAGACATGCTACGGGGGAGAGGGTCAGAGGCTGCGGTCATGCTACGGGGGAGAGGGTCAGAGGCTGCAGACATGCTACGGGGGAGAGGGTCAGAGGCTGCGGTCATGCTACGGGGGAGAGGGTCAGAGGCTGCAGACATGCTACGGGGGAGAGGGTCAGAGGCTGCGGTCATGCTACGGGGGAGAGGGTCAGAGGCTGCAGACATGCTACGGGGGAGAGGGTCAGAGGCTGCGGTCATGCTACGGGGGAGAGGGTCAGAGGCTGCAGACATGCTACGGGGGAGAGGGTCAGAGGCTGCGGTCATGCTACGGGGGAGAGGGTCAGAGGCTGCAGACATGCTACGGGGGAGAGGGTCAGAGGCTGCGGTCATGCTACGGGGGAGAGGGTCAGAGGCTGCAGACATGCTACGGGGGAGAGGGTCAGAGGCTGCGGTCATGCTACGGGGGAGAGGGTCAGAGGCTGCAGACATGCTACGGGGGAGAGGGTCAGAGGCTGCGGTCATGCTACGGGGGAGAGGGTCAGAGGCTGCAGACATGCTACGGGGGAGAGGGTCAGAGGCTGCGGTCATGCTACGGGGGAGAGGGTCAGAGGCTGCAGACATGCTACGGGGGAGAGGGTCAGAGGCTGCGGTCATGCTACGGGGGAGAGGGTCAGAGGCTGCAGACATGCTACGGGGGAGAGGGTCAGAGGCTGCGGTCATGCTACGGGGGAGAGGGTCAGAGGCTGCAGACATGCTACGGGGGAGAGGGTCAGAGGCTGCGGTCATGCTACGGGGGAGAGGGTCAGAGGCTGCAGACATGCTACGGGGGAGAGGGTCAGAGGCTGCGGTCATGCTACGGGGGAGAGGGTCAGAGGCTGCAGACATGCTACGGGGGAGAGGGTCAGAGGCTGCGGTCATGCTACGGGGGAGAGGGTCAGAGGCTGCAGACATGCTACGGGGGAGAGGGTCAGAGGCTGCGGTCATGCTACGGGGGAGAGGGTCAGAGGCTGCAGACATGCTACGGGGGAGAGGGTCAGAGGCTGCGGTCATGCTACGGGGGAGAGGGTCAGAGGCTGCAGACATGCTACGGGGGAGAGGGTCAGAGGCTGCAGACATGCCACGGGGAGAGGGTCAGAGGCTAGAGACATGCTACGGGGGAGATGGTCAGAGGCTACCAGAGATGATCAGAGACTGCAAACATGATATATGAGTTGATGGAGAATTAGGGCATGCTTCAGAAGACTGGAAGGAATGGGGATAGAAAAAAAAAAACACAAATAAGATATCCTGAAAGAAATAAACCAAACCGGCCAGTGTAAAAGTATATTTTTTTCACTGGCTTGACTACAGTAGGCAGGCTTCAGGTTGGGCACCAGGTAGATAAACATAGCAATGGATCATACAATACTAAAAACAGATTGACCAGAGCCTCTTGTAGCAGGCTT